GGGAAAAACCGGGAGAAAATAAAGGAAATACCTAAACAAAATTTAATCGAAACTCGGAAACCGAGGGGCAACGCGGCTGGGGGGCTGGGGGCTGGGGGCTGGGGCACTCCACGGATTCGGTTGGGTTTATTAGTTTATAAAGTTTGGATTTTGTTTGCGTGTGCCATTTCGGTTCATGTGTGAAAAAATACAACAAAAAATTCAAGGTATAAATAAACTAAATAAAACCGAAAACTAGGAAAACTTCAAACTTGGGGGGGGGGGGGGTTTTTTTTGCCGGCAAACGTTACCAAACAACTGTTGCCCCGCCCCCCCCCTGCTCGCCGTCTCTCTCTCTAATTGGAAACTTTGCCTAGTGTGAGGTTTTTCCTCCAATTATAACCAAACCGACGCACAGTTTTTGTTGTTCGAAGGTGCTTTTGGCCCACATGTGTGTACATACATATATAGACCCTTAACCCGCCATCTGTTTTAGTTGGTTTGTGGACAATTGTTTTTTAGTTTTTAGTTTTTAGTTTTTAGTTGAGTTTATTTTGTACTTATTCGAAAATCCTCAGGCATACACAATAATTTCTTGCTGCCTCAATTTGTTATAAATTTGTACAGGCTTTTTGCTTTTTGCTTTTTGCTTTGCCAATTGAAATGAATGAGTTTTTGGGGAAAACTATGTGGAAAGTTACCCAAAGTTGGTTCTGAATAAAAGTTGGGAAAATTAAAGGGCACAAAGTTAAGTAGAAACGTCTAAATTGGGGCATAAACCAGAGTATATATTAACGAAATAAATGAAAATAATTTTTAATAATTCCCCAAATACTCCCCGCCAAAATGCCCCCAAAATCCTCTCCGCCAGCTCCACTCAATAATCTCTCCAGAAACAGCACTTATTCTAGCACATAATTACGCCCTGATTAGATCCGATTATTGTTAATCTTTTTGAGTATTTCTTTATTTGCTGCTCTGTGGGCCATTGTAAAATCTCGGCACGCAATGGGAATAAAAGGAGTATTTACGAGTGCGTGATTTCTATATTAATGCAGTGCGGGACGGTAAAGGGGAGGGGGGTGGGGGGACGCCACCACAAAATTGGCCGCACAAAAGACGAATCAGCCTTTGCAAAGATCTCACTCGGAGAAATGTCATAAAATTTGTTCAACGATTTATATGTTTCCTTTCTTTTTTTTTCCTTCTCTGCTAAATATTATTTTTGCCACCCTCCCTCCCTCTTTCCTTCTTTCTATTTTTTTTTTTTTTTTTATTATAATTTGTCATATTTTGTCATTTAGCATTATAGTTTGCCCTTCCCCCGAGGGCATGGACTGGGCATGGACTGGTCTCCAGCTCTAGCGGGCATTTTCCTACTCATATCTCATTTGGTTTTTGGTTTTCGGTCTTGGAGGATGGATGTGGACCGCTCCAATGTCGGCGCCTATGGGCACACACACACATATGTCTGTCCTGCTGTCCTGCTGTCCTGCCGTCTCTCTGATCTGCTTGACAACAGTGGAATACGAGCAGAACGGAAATGCTGCTGTTGCCCGGGCCCAGACCCACAAAAATCTATGGCATGGCTGGGGGTAGCCCCCAAACAATGAGCCTGGGCCAAGTCCATGCCAGAACGGACATGCCAGCAGCAACAACAATGTGCCCAGCACAATTTCAGTGTCCGCTGCCAAGAAAGGCACAAAAAAGAACGCAAACGAGAGGCAAACAATCCCCAGTGAGACAGCAGCGGAAGAGACTTGACAACATACGCAACATGGGCGAAAAATGAGTGGCGACGACGACGGCGCACATGGCGTATGAGTGACGAAACGAGGCAGAAAGAAAACTCCAGATTCCAGACTCCAGACTCCCAGAACAGCCCCGAAAACGAAGCTGGGGCACACGCCCCGCACAGATTTGATAGTTTTTATCGATTTAAGTGGATTTTTCCAAGGGGGAAAAAGGGAGGCACAGGGCCCGCGGCAGATTCAGATATATAGACAGACAGCCTTGATTTTTGGCAAACGTCGCGGCCCCAAACAAATAAACATAAAACAAGCAAAAATGTGCCTGGCGTTAATTTCCCAAAGACGAACCCAGGGCATACCCTAAACAAGGGCTGCCCATGGACTCCTCTCTGGTGTGAGGGCATACGACCGTCGTTGTAGCTCGTTTCTGAGTGTGTGTGTGGCGCGTGTGGCAATGTGCGTTGTCTGCGTCTTGGCAGCCGGCATAGATAAGCGTTTCTACAACCACACAAAAAAGAGTGTGTGTGGCAAGCATTGCTGCCGCCGCTGCCGCTTCTCTGACAACCGAAATCAAAGCTCAAACTTTTGCGTATAAAGCATAAAGCTTCGACCATGAATTGTTCAAGTTTTTTTCTCCTCCAAGCATCTTTAGCATTTAGCAGGAAGTCTGTGCGTGTGCCACGCCCAGCCCACACCATGGCCCCCACCCTTTTCTTTATCAACACTTCTGGGGCCATGGCGACCCCGAGCAAATGCGTAAAAATTATGCCACAGCTTGAACGACGACGACGACGACGACGAGGAGGAAAAAATGTGGGGAAACCAAATGCGGAACTAGCGCTACGGATGTTGGGGAACGCCAAAAACTGGACAACCAATTTACTTTTATTTTTATAGAGGCCCGCTTGAGGTTATCCTTAGCCCTCTCTCGCTCCTCGCATTTTTTGTGTGTGTAGAGGCGTTAAATATTTCCCAGATATGTGCATAATTTATGCGTACGGGCAGAGCCAAGAAAAAACTACAGAAATAATAAAAGGGAGATAAAAAATGTATTTATTTTGCGCATATTTACGCATGGGCCAACTCCCGAAGAGCGCCCCGGCTAAATGCGCATAAATATTAAATGAGCTGGTCGCTGGTAGATGCTGGAAGCTAGATGGTACCAGAGAGTGTATCAATTGTTCCCCCTCCCTGGTCCCCGGCCCCCCCTGCTATTGCTATTGTTACTGTTGCTGTGGCCGAAGCCTTAGACTGGAAGATGATGATTTAGTTTTCAGCACTCTATTGCAATAAATTCCATTTGCCAGGCCATTTCCAACTGGTTTTGTCAGGGCGACTCTTGTCTGTCTGCCTGCCTGCCTGCCTGCCTGCCCGTTTGGTTACTCTCTCCCAGCGCTATATACCATCGCACATACATATATAGATATATCCCTCCTAACTGCTTGGCACTCAACATTATAAATTGCCGCATGAGTGGGGTGGTGGGGCGGTGGGGTGGTGGGTCCACAGCCATTGCAGCCAAACAAAAACTTATTATTTATTTTGTATGTTTGTCCGTTTGTGGGGGGGGGGGGGGGGGGGGGGGGGGGTCTGTATCGTATACAAAGTACTCGAGGGTACTAGAGGGTACTAGAGGGATTGCAGAGAGAGCGCCAGAGCTCCACTCTAATAAATAATTATCGTATTGTTTAAGTCTCGAATGGAATGCCATAAATCATGTCTTGGCCACTAGACGTCGCGAGATATTTGACTCTGAATTATTATCATCACAGTCCCATCAGACTGATAAGAACTATGGCGACAGTGCAGCCAAAAGGGCGGATGGAGGGACCAACAAACTGTTGGTGGCACAGCCTCAAGTAACTTGGTTCCTCTTGGAGGTATCCCAGTGAAACTTTGTATTCAAGTAAGTTTTGAGATGCTAAAGCACATATGTGGAAATGATGGATATTCCTCTAAGGAAAGTGTAGATATCATACCAAAATAGTAGTTGTACCTAGAGATTACCTAAGTAAAGAGTCGAAGCAGTCGAAGAACAAGCAACAGTAGTCGGTTTTTTAAGTTTTGGTAAGATTGACCTCAAGTAACTTAGTTCCTCTTGGAGGTATCCCAGTGAAACTTTGTATTCCCGTTACTTTTGAAGTGCTAAAGAACATATGTTGAAATGATGGATATTCCTTTAGAGAAAGTGTAGATATCATACCAAACTTTAAAGAAATGATGTTGTATATGGAGATTACCCAAGTAAAGAGTCATAAAAGGCAACACTGGTCGGTTTTAGGCATATTGACCTCAAGGAACTGGACTTCCCTTTATTCTATTCCGATGAAATTTGTTATATTGACGTTAATCCACTTCAAATCAAGGGACATACCACCATAGAACACATCTACCTACTGCCAAAGCTTGAAAGAGCTTCTTAAACCCTTTCCGCCATACCTAAGCATCCCCTATTGAAATCCAAGCTCAAGATTGCGCCAAGATAGAGTAAATCTCTCAGAAACTTGAAGCTCATTCCGCTACACACACTTGAGACCATTTTCTAACCATTTCATAGGCAATTTATTCAAAATTTATACAGAAAACTCTGGGATTTGCTTCACTTAAATCTCATATGAATATCTAATCTGTTTGTCTTAAATCCACTCGGCTCCAAGCCTCCCGCCCAAACCCCAAAAAGAGCTGGCAAACAAGTTGATATGCCTGCCCGCCTGCCGGCCGGCCCACTTGGGGTCTAAACCCCACTCAGAGGCCAACAAAGTAAGCGGCACTTGTTACCAACACGCGCTCCTCCGTCTTTACCAGCAAAATTGCGTTTTGGCCGCAAACCGTTTGCCCTTTGGCTTATGGCCTCGGCTCGGCTTGGGGCCGGGGGGGCTGGGGGCTCGTGGCTGGGGCCCACATTATGGCACCCCAAAGCAAACTAAACGCGTCAAAATGAGCAAAAGCGAAGCTCAAACTTCTGCGTAGTGCACAAAAATATTCAAATAACCGCCACCGACAAAGAGGAAAAAATAATTTAAATCAGTACCGCCCCCCCGTCCCCCCCAACACCGGGGGGAATAGTAAACTCAACTAGATGGATGCAGTAGGCTTAGAGGAATGTGTTTTGTGGGGGAAATGCTTTTAGGGAAAATCCTGGCGCATCATGGACCAGGCCCGAACGAAAAGCGGGGCAGACTTTGCCGCAACTATGCTGCAATGTGGCTGCCACAGGGGACTAGGGGGCACTAGGCTGGTCCCAAATAGAGCCATAATTACCGCCGAGGCTCATGATTTATGGACACTTTATTGTTGGCCTTTCAAAAACAATGAACCACTAAATAGAATTTTCAGATTATAATTTGGGCTCTTAAGATCTTCTGGCTTCTGGATCGAAATTTTGCTATCAGATGTTTAAAATTGTATCTTAAAAGCGAAGCGTTTGTGTAGTTTTTCCCTGATCTCATCTTCCACTGTCCAGATCCGTTCCTGCTGGCTTTCGGTTGTCTTCAGACTCCTTTGCTTTCTCTTTTGGCCCTCATCTTTTTCCTTGGCTGGGAGTCCTTGCTTTGGTACCTTCTTTGCACTTGTAGGATCCACAGGCTTGAGTGGTTTTCTTCGGGCATCTTTCTGCTTCGATTGGTCCTTTCTTTGTATGAAATTCGTTAGGAAACTTTCTTTGATGGAATCGATGAACCGGACACGCTTTTTTGGTTCACCTTTCTTGAGGCCTTGGGCTGGTGGCCCAGTCGATGGTTGGCGCCGACGTTTCTCCGCGGAAGGTTGTCTTTGATAGACTATTTTAGTCGAGTGTTCGCTGCTGGAACCGCTTTCCCATCTCCGTAGAAAAGATCTTAGCTTAATGAACGGTGCCTTATCAATCGCTTCTCTTATGGGGTCCCTGGTGTGCCTGACAGGCGCCTCCACCCAGTCATCGCTCGAGGACTCCATATCGGACTCCATGTAGGGGTTTCTCCTATAGTCAGTGTCCTTTCTGTATTCAAGGTCCTGCAACTGCCTGTGGCGGAACCTGATCCTTTGGCTAATCACCTCTAACCAGTCATCGCAGGACGTGTCCTCGGATGGCACGTACGGGTATCTCCGGGCCTCAAGGTCCTGCTTGCTATCCGTTGAGGCAATGCCGTGTCCATTATTGCTATTCGGAGGGTCCTCATCAACGGACAACAGGTGTTGCTCGTTGTATCCACCCACGGCTCGAATCATCTCCTGCTTTGTGCTGTCTGGAGGCATCAAGCTCCGGGATAACACCACCGGCATGTGTCCGCCTTCAGCTCGTCCTTGGTTGCTCTTCTCGCACGGACTTATCGCTGGCTTGGGACTGCCTTGAGGACCAGCGGGCAGCAGCCGGGGTTTGTATTTGCCCTGGCCCACGACTTCGTAGAAGTCGGAAAGGGCCTTCATCTGTAGTTTCACGACTTGCCCGGGACTAAGCTTCTTACAAACTGGAGGAGTGTGATCTCTGGATACCTGGTAATGCTTTTCGCAGGCCTGTTGAATCTCACTCTCCGGTAGTCCAGCGCCCGGAGCGGGTCTTTGACTCATGGGCAAGGGTCCCGAGGGGCCGGAGACATTGCAACAGCACAAGGCAGGTGCGTATCCGTAGGGCATGTCATCCGAATCCAACGAACACTCAGACGAAGACCTGGGCATTCCCAGTCTCCTTAGCCCTGCCCGTATATCATCAGACGCCGGGACCTTATGGGGCGAGCCGAAGGGGTTGGGTCCCACATTCGGATTGGTGAACACCCCCATCGTCTTCGTGCAGAACATTATGGGACTGTGTCCGGTCTTGTCCCTGGGCCGCATCATGCGACAGGGGAGGCACAGGAAGCGCTTCATCATGATGAGCAGCAGCACGAACGTCTTCATCGCCATGGGTCGCCGCAGGTCGCCATTCTCATCGAAGATGCCGTAGTACAGGTCAAAGGTGTCGGACATGGCGAAGGGCACCTTCAGCGTGTTCCAGCCCATGACCAGTGGCCCCAGGATCCGGCTGAACAGGTTCAGGGTGAGCTGGTAGAGGAACGTGCAGACATTCCCGGCGGACTGGTCGACGGCGTTGGCCAGCAGCCGGACGATGACACAGTTCCGGTTCCACCACTGGTGCTGCGGCGACGAGCAGGTGCAGGCCTTCATCGGCTCCAGTCGCGGACACCAGGGAATGCAGGTCGTGGGATCACCGCGCTGGGCAGCGGCCCGACAGCACGATCGAGACATTTTTAGGCCACCAACAAACAAATTCCAAAAAAAAGATGCAAAATTTTGAAATTTTTGTTGAGGTTTTACTTTTGTGTGCCCTCAAATTTTGGTTTAGTCTCGACTGAGGCTCCCGACAAACTACTAGAAAGGAATCCAAATCCAAATCGGAATTGGAATTCTATTTCTTGGGCTTCTTCTGTCCCAGCCTGGAATTGATAGAACTTCGTGCCTTTCTGGGAGAACTCGCCAGACTAAAGGCACTGTGTATCGACCATCGGGCACGGCCTCTTTCCATCTCATTCTCCACGGACTCGCGCCTGTAACGTTTGATCATGTCGAATCCTACCTTGCCGTCGGCCAGGAGCCGGCCCTGGCTGGGATGGCGGCGTATCCACGTCCACTCCTTGGCCGAATCGAATGGTTCGTGGTACAGAACGGGTATCGGTTCTCCGTAGTACTTCCTGGGTAGTGGCAACGCATGGGGGGGCGTCCTGCTCTTTGGCCGCTCGCTGCTCACGGTTTTCGTGTAGAATTTCGAGAGTTCAGCGACCGCCTCGTTGCGGCGGGTCTTCTGGTCTTGTGCCGGCCCGCCGTCCTCCAGATCGAGCTGGCTCAGGGCCCGCAGGACCTTCTGGGGATCCCTTTCCAGCCGTCGCCTCTCGTTCATTTTCGCTATGAGGCGTTTCAGGTACAGGGCCTGCTCGGAGCGCAGATTGCCGAGCTGAGCGGAGTGACTGCCCATGCCGCGACGTCTGCCCTTGTCGTCTATCATCAGCTGGTACCTCGAGTCGTCGCTCAGGTCTTGCGAGTAAAACGACACAGCATCCCCGTCCTTGCCGGGCACTCTGTAATGCGGGGATATCTCCAGGGATCCGCGTATTTCCGCGTATCCCTTGGATTCTTCCGATTTTTCGTCGTCTTCCTTTCGTTTAAGCTGTCCTGGGGATTTCTTTCCCTTTTGTTTGCTTTGCATAGGCCTGGAGGGTCCACTTAATTCTGTGACTCCCCATCTGGAACATCTTGTTTCGATCATGGATCGGTGGCGCATAACGGGTGCTCGTTCTTCTTCTCTGAGGCTGGAATCGAAGGGCAGTGAAACACATCCTGGAGTTTGGCCCTTGAGGAAGTTCTGCAACAGTTTCAGGAGCTGGAACAAACTCCTAGGATGGGTGGGATCCCTCAGATTCCCCTGGTCATCGAAGATGCCCATGTATCGTTCACAGACGTACGGATGACAGTACGGCACGTGGCAGGCACTGTAGCCACATCGCCTGGGATGGAGCAGCCGATTGTAGTTTTGAAGTGTCAGATCGAATAGGAAGCCGGCAACTTTCTCGGGGCATCCTTCAAGCAGCTTCGCCAGCTGCCGCACAGCCAGATCGTTGCGATGGCTCCAGTAGTGCCACCGGCACTCATCGGCGGACCGTTCCAATCCCCGCCGCTGGAGCTCGTCGCAGGTCGCCGGATCGGGCGGGGGGCATCTCTTTCGCGGCCATTCCATGCACGGTGGGAGCTTTTCATCGCTGTGCTTGAGTCGGCGATGGCTGCGGCACATCCTCTCGCCGGATACATGTAAATTTTTATATTTTTCCCAAATACATTCTATCGCTGAAGCGAAATTCAAAGCAAAGCTGATCTGAAGATACATTGCAAACCCACAGATTAAGCCAATTCCCCACAAAAAGAGGCCTTTTCGGGCCTTCCACCGCCTGACACCAAAATTAAATAATAGTTTTTACTTTTCTCTCTTTCCCAGCGAAACGAAACGTGTTTGCCACGTAAAACTATATTTTGATTATGTTAATTTTCTCGTTCTTTCATCTGTTTGGCCCTTTTTTGGAGGGCACGCCCTGAAAGCCGAAGAAACGACAAAGATAAAGCGAAAAGAATGATGATTGAGAGGCGTGTGTGTGTGAAGAGAGTCAATAGCCGCTCTGCCAACCGAAGATCTGCTGGGACTTTGGTTGGAGAGGAGGGGCAGGGGGCGTGGGGGTTCACTGACCTCAGACACTGGTTCGGACAACAGTTGGCCAAAATAAAAGAGCTCCCAGCCGGAAATGATCAACAGTTATGCTGCACTGCAAGGAATGTGTCTGTATCTGTATCTGAGCAAAATATTCTCAAAGCTCGTCTCAAACAGACCGTAAAATGTATAATTACAAAATTGCATGTTCTTTGTTACTGTTATCATGGGCAAAAACAATCAACTAGATGGCTCTCGGAATCTCAGCTCAGATAAAAGCTCACACGAAAGGCCCCAACAACAACAACAACAATAAAAAATGTTAGCCATTGGGGATTGTTTGGGCCAATTGAGTTAAATTTATGGGGCTGGCCTGCGCCCAGAGCGGGGATTTCGTTTTGGTTGTGGGAGTCCCCCCTGGGAACCCTTCAAGGGCTGAAATGGGCCAAGTTTGATTGGGTTTCAATTAACAAATCGGCAAGTGATATTAACACTAGGCCTCCACTCCCCACTCTCCACTCCCCACTCCGCTGTTAAATGAATGTTCAAAGTTTAGACGTTTTCTCAGAACTGACAGCAAATAATTCCCAGAAAAAAAACCCCCCATTAGACAGCAGAGGCTTAACGTTTTTGGATTGGTGGGGAATATATGTATTTTTCTGGAAGAAATACTTACAAAGATGGAAAAAATTGCAGTTAAAGTCTTAATTGTAATCCGTCTCTGCAAATTGTATTTTAACTGTATTTATTTAGCACTTGAATAGTTGACAAAATTTGCTTGTATTTAAAATTTTAGAAACTTTTCTTTTTTTATATAACAATTTATCTAATTTAGAAAGTTTTTTGTTTTTATTTTGATTTAGCAAAAATCTTTAGACCTTTTTAAGGCGTTTTTTTTTTATTGCACAAAATTGTGTATTTTTATTGCAGCAATTGTTTGTTTAAATGCTTATTAAGTTTATAATATATTTTTTGTTTTTTTTTGAAGAATATAAAAGTTAATTGGTTTTTGATTTTTGTATTTATTTTTTTATAAGCAAAACAATGAACACAGCGTCACAAAAAACTTTTCGTTGATTTTTTTTTTGTAGTGGATTTTTTGTTTGTTTTTAATTGCACTTGGATCAAGGGTTAAACGAGTTTTAGTTGGAATGTTTTTTAGTGTTCGACTTGGTATTGCACTGAAGCCCACAGACTGAAAAATAAACGATAGATATAAGATACGCCAAGGCTTGATCCGCACCCAAATTGAGGTAAATCTCTATTGTTTATAATTTATTTTTTTGGCAGCAAGTATGTGCTGTGAGTGTTTGTGTATCTTCTCTTTGTGCTACTGTATCTATTGATAGAAAGCTTCATTTATGCACGGCTGGCTGTCGACTCTATAAATTCTGGAAAACTTATGCCTCCGCCTCCCACCAAGCGCAGCGGCCCTTCTTCTTTATCTGCGGCAAAACTTTTGCTTCAAGTGAACCAAATACATACATATATATGTGCCTCGTGGGGTCGGAAAAATTTCCATGTTAATTAGCCGACAGTTGAGGAGAGTTGAATGCTTTTTCGGGGCACTGTTTAATCAAAGTTTCTGCGGCCTTGGCACAAAGTTTTCTTAGCCTGCTTAAAGTATCTACCAGATAAATCGTAAAATATGTTGCCCCACGCCGGTTAAAGTTTTACGCTTCGGATAAATAAATATTGGGCCTGTGATTAGGTGAGGTCAGTGCAGGCAAAGGGCAATTCAAGTTGAAGTTTATGGCCATTTATTGGTGGGTTATTGCAGATAAGTCTTCGTAATTGATGGGTTTTTGGTGGGAGCAAAGTTCAAGTTGGGTTAACAATTTAGATAATGGAATTGAATTACAAACATTCGTTTTCGAATCTAAGTCTAACCTCAAACTAAGTTCTTTTCCAGTAAAGGCCATAAAAATCTCTCCTCAATTTCCCCTTCTATTTATTTACCTACAAAATTTTATCTATTTACCAAACATGGTTTATGCTTGTTTTATTTTCAATTTTTGTTTTGTGGTATGCTTAAAAAATATATTTGATATTTTAGGATTTTTATATAACCTCAATTTGGGCAGGGATAAAAATTCAAAAAAAAAAAAAACTGGCGACCCTTTTTGGGGGGTGCTTAAACATTTATTTGATTTGTATTTTATTTATTGTTCGGGTTTTTCCCATGATTTTTTGCTCTGTTTATATTTTGTCACTGCTCTTCTTTAATGTTTTTCTTCCAGTCTTCTTCTTGGGTTCGTTCTCGATGCTCTCTCACTCCCACACACACAGTTAGACAGAGACAATGCACAGTGAAATTCCGCTACACCGGAAATTACAATTGAAAAATGTTTATGGTGGATGGCTGGCCTGTTTCTGTTGTTGTTGTTGTTGCTGCCATTCTGTGTCTGTGTGGTGTTTTTTTTTTGTCACACGAAAATTGTTGTTATTATTTATGATTATTACGATTATTATTATTATGTAGTAGTATCTTTTTTTGTGATGCGAATTCCAGCACAAAAGAACAGGATGTCAGCCGAAAATAACAATACTCGTAAACAGTTATTATTCGAAATTTCGGTTTCGGTTTATATTTTCAAAGATATATTTTCGCATTCAAGTGGATTTTATAGCTCTCTCTCTCTCTCCCTCTCGCAGTGGATTAAAGCCAGTTTTTGTGTTCTACTTGATTTTACTGATGTATTTTTTATTGTTATTTTTATTTTAATTTAGCTTTTGTGGCATTTAATTTTATATTAGATTGAATTCTAGTTGTTGTTTTTTTTGCACTTTTTCCAACACTCACTTTTAATTGTTTAAACTTTTGGATATTCTCTCTATCTCGCTCGCTCGCTAGCTCTCTCTCTCTCTCTGGAACAACTGTTGTTGTTTTTTGTGGCAGTGTGGCAGATTTGTTTAAGGAAGAAAGAAGAAAACACACGACGCGCTGGCTTGCCCTGCCTGCCCACCTCTCTGCACTCTCTCTGCGATACTGTTATTCTGCTAACAACTGCGCTGCTGTCAAACCGTACAGTTTGAGAGTAAAATTCGGACTAGTCGGTCTCCGGCCGAGCCGCAGGTCTCAGAGTCGCAGTCGCACTCGCAGTCGAAGCGGCGGAAGCGACCCGAACAAACACGAACGACGCTGAGAGAGAGAGAGAGAGAGCAGCAGCTGGAACGGCGCACTGGAAGGGAGAAGGCCGCCGCAACGCTAGGGGCCCCGCATATGTCGTGTCGCACACACACACACACACTCTCGCCCAAAAACCGGCATTCGTTCGTTGCATTTTATGTGGGAGAAAGAGAGCGCGCGGCAAAGAGAAAATGTAACTGCTTAAGAGAGACCTGCAGCAGGGCCCGCTCTTTGCTCGGGCAAATACAATTGGTAACTTTTGGGGCCAACATCCATCCTTGGTATTTGAGTTTTGAATTCTGTGTGAATTCCCATTTTCGGCACTTTTCGCCGGGGCGGCGCTTTGCCAATTATAATTGAGTGCATTTTGGTAGCATTCCGTTCCGTTCCGTTCCGTTCTATTGTTGTTTCTGGGCAAATCACGATTCCCCCATGTAATTGGATATTCAAATCAGTGGCAACGAATTTACATGCATGGGCTTTTGTTTGGGCAGAGATTATCGGGGTTTAAAGGTTTAACGGGAAGAATTATAAAATGTAACCTTTGATTGGCATGACACATCTTCCGGCATCGAACCCAGTTCCCCGGACATCCCAGTCGGGGCCGCAGCATAATTGCTTTCGTATTTTTAGAGCCGCGCCCCATGATAACCCCCCCAGAAACCCAGACCCGAAAATCTATGAAAATACAAATGAGAGCATTGTCTTTATCAATTATGATTCGGCGGCTCAAAGAGATAACATTTTGAACTCTGACACAAGTCCGTTTTCTTGCGGAAGATCCATGCCAAAAAATGAAAAGTAATCCGAGAGCACCATCAGCACCGCCCCCTCTGGGCCCCCACCCCTCCCGAAGGCATAGTCTACGTCTCTCGACCGACAATAAGTCAGCGAGACAAGTCAAGTCCGTATCAGTTTTCCCCCCACACGAAACGAAGGAGGAAAAAATAAATTGAAAACTTTTTGAAAAAAAAAACCCACAAAGAAATAGTAGAAGAGGCGGCAAGAAGCACAAGTAATAATAATGTGTGGCCTTTGAAATGCGAAACGTTTTATGGGTATTTTTTATACCCGGTAGTGCCAGGGTACAACGGGGTATATTGGGCTTGGGGAAGAAGGAGGCGTGAGCCCTAAACCTATCCTAAAACCAGGCCATTAAGAGAGGGTATCGCCAGAGTTGGCTTATGCCCTTACCAGGTCTTTACTTGTTTCGTGCAATCTTCTTTTATTTTGAGTGAGTAAAACACAAAAGACATAAGCTAAAATGCAAACTAAGTAAAATTGTGTTAGGTCGCATCATCATCGCCATCTGCATGGGGATGATGATGATGTTGCTTGGGAGTCGCTCGGGGGCACTGCCAGAATGGGTGGAATGGGAGGGTGGCAACACTCTAATAAAATTTACGACAATGCGAATGGCAACGGCAACGGCAGCGGGCAGAGAGTGAGACTTTAGACTGGTCCGGAGTCCGGACCAAGACCGAGAGTCAGTCGTAAGCCCTGCAGTCAACTAACCAAAACTATCAAAAGACGGCCCAAAAACGTACATACCTCTCTCTCTCTCTCTCACTCTCAGTTGCAGTGTCTCTGTCGGTCGCCGTCTCTTTCTGGCACTGCTTCTCTCTCTCTCTCTCTGTGGGTCCGTGTCCCCTCTCCATATCTGTGGCATGCTCTTTGTCTGGTTTTGGTGTGGGAAAGAATGCAGTGAAGGGAATTTCCAAGTCAAGACTTGGCAAGCCATGGCCGTAATGTGTAATGTATCTCTTGGATACATTTTTAAATTGTATGCCATACGCTGTTTTGGAACGTTGACAATGTATCTGTATCTGTGTGCCTCAGCCAAAAGGCCAACAACATTTGCATTGGCCATTGCCAATTAATCAACACAAAAAGAAAAAAAAAACAACAACAAAAACCGAAACAGAAACCTGCAATTGATTTCAATATTTCATCAGCAGTGTATCCTACACCGAACGAAAAAAGAGTATCTGTATCTGTGGCTGTTTCTGTGCATTTTATCGTTGCGTAAATCAATATATAGTATTTCTTTTCCTTTTTTTTTGGGGATACTACGCCCGCGTCCAATTGCATTTCGAGTGCCAGACCAAATGGCCCAAAAAATGTATCTGAGCAGCGGCTATATAGATGTATCTTTGTCTGCTACCACGAGTGTATGTGTGTGTGTGTGTGTGTGTTTACCTTTCCCTTGTTGCATGCCTCTTGTTGCACTTTTCGATACGTTTTCGTATCGTTTCCCTTTTTGTCTTTCGTTCGCCGACGCGTCGCTCGCCGGCTATAGATATGTGGGCTAGGTCAGTTCAAAGTTCACGTGTTTCCCCTCTATTGATTGAATCGCCTTCGGAATTTTTCGGTCATTTTTGGTTCAGCGCCAAAGCAACCTGTTCTCCAGCCAGCCCACAGATACAGATACAGATACAAGGAGAGAGATTTAGCTTAGCTTAGATTTAGCTCTTCTTTGTTGCATTCGAAATGAATTAATCGCTGATGAATATTGCAAATGTTATTCATTGGAAATTCAAGTTTCGATTGAGCTATGCAAATGAGAAAAATGCTATTTTAGATGCAAATTTAGTGCGGATCGAAATGTAATGCTCTGATGAAAGGGGGGTATCGTCTAGGCATACAAAAGTCCCCTCTTTAAAGAGTTTAAGAACAAGTATTCCTCCTTCTGGGTTTCGTAATTTCAGAGCTCGAAATTTCCATTTAATTTCCATAAAATATATTGACATCCCACCCACGCCCCCGCCCGCGCCCCAAAAAAGATGAAGGAGCAGACTTAATAAAAATGTTATGTAAATGGTAAATAAAACCACCCCCCCTCCCCACCCCATTGCCACCCACAAATTCAGGTCAGGCCGACAACAGATGGCGCTGCATGATGTACATGTATATATTTTCGCACAAGGCATACGCATAATTTCAATTGCATCAAATGTTATTTTTAACCAACACAATTTTGTAAAGCCACAAGGAAGGAGCCACAGAGAAGTGGCTACGGATGGAGCAGGGAGCTGGAGCGGGGAGAAGGGAGTGGGTGGGGGTGGGCAATAAATTTCAAATGCACAAAAAAGAACCTACAACCCAAGAAGCAAGAAAAACTAAGCAGAAAGGAGCAATGGGCAAATGGTCTTAGTCTTGGTCTTGGTCTTGGTCTTGGTATTGGGTTCTGTGGCAGAGCTCATCTTACAGCTGCTGTGGAAGTTGCTCTGCTGATACCCTGTAGCAGGTAGAGCACAAAGGTATATTCTACAAGAGCTATGCAACAAAATACCATTAACATGGGTTTTTCCATTCTATAAAGGGGTATTCTTGAGTCGCAAAATCATAGTAATCCCCCTAGTTGTTGCTGCTGCTGTTGCAACGATTTAGTTGCAGGCCACTTGTCATGCGAGGAGGCAGCACCAACAGCCCCAACAGCCCCAACAGCCCCAGCAGCAGGCTTCTCCTCCAGAGCTGCCTTGGCCAAGTCTTCAAATTGCCAGTTAGCCAATCTGCTGCTCTCTCTCTCTTGCTCGCTCGCCCCACTCCAGCCCCAATGGCAAACAATTCTCTCCCCGCTGCCCTCTATCAACACACCGCCTTGTCGTGGGGCACATTGGCCACATTTTTGCAGTCGTCGAGTGGCTTTGTTAGCGATGCAGCGATTGCAACTTGTTCTGAACCGAACTGGTAGCCTCCAAGAAGGGGGCTGGACGGCTTGAGAGGGGCCGCATCCAAAACTGGCCACTTTACGGAGCTCTGGATGGGGCTGGACCCGCGCGCTGCGTGTGACCAGCGGAGAGAAAGACAAGAATTGGAGGGACAGAGATAGAGACAGAGACAGCTACAGAGAGGGGGAGAGAGAGGGAGAGGGAGCTGGGAGATTGCAATTTGAGGCGCAGCATCTGTGTGTGTGGGATTTCCAGTTGTTGCGACTGTGTTGCTGCTGCCCCTGTTGTTGGGTGGCATTTGAAACAATTTGAGCTAATTTCTGTAAATTGTAGATCTTATCAGGCACTGCGAATGCATACAAAAGGGATCCAGGGATCACTCCGAAGTTCAAATGGAGCTCAAGAGCCTGCAACAAAATAAGACACTTGATGGCACAGAGAGCTTAGGGTAAAGAAATGGGGGGACATTTAGGGGAAAACATTTGCTAAGGGAACAAATGATTAGGAGCAAGAAACCCCTAGATGAGAGCATAACTTGGGGTACAGGGAAAATTGTGAGGAGAATTTAAAGATCTTCGACTTATTTTGGGTTTGGAATTTTATAGAAATATTCAGAAAAATGGAGGGGTAGAATCTATCTATAATTAATGCTTAAAATACCTGAAAAATAAATCTTTGAATATAATCAAAGATTGCACACATCACAGATACTTTTTTCAGTCATAAATTTTTATATAAGGAAATATTTATAGTAAAATATAATAATAATTTATAGCCAAGGAATCAAAAAAATAAATTTTATTATGAGATTTAGAGTCTTTCCACTTAAAGAAAATTTTAATTCGAATTTTTTTTTAGGTTTAAAATTTTATAAAAATATTCAGATACATGGAGGGGTAGAAACTATATAAATTTATACCCAATTTCCCTTATCAATTTTTATATACGTAAATATTTATTTTACAATAAATTAATAATTTATCGACGAAAAAAAAATGTTATTTAGAGGTTAAAAATATTGAAAATTGTAATTCAAAATTTTTTTGTATGTTCCGAATTTTATAGAAATATTTAGATACATAAAAATTAACAAAAAACAGATAAACTCTATAAATTTATACCTAAAATACCAGAAAAAGAAATCTGGAAAAATCTTAGATTATGATCAAAGATTGTTCACTTCATAGATACTTTTTTCCCTCATCCCTCAGTATTTACATATATAAGAAAATATTTATAGCCGACGAATAAAATAAATAAGTTTGTAATTAAATAAGCATTTAAAATGCAATTTAAAATTACCATATTGCCGTTTATTTTAATCAGCGTTTGATGTATGTAATGGCTGGGAAGAATCATTAAACTCACCTGAAAAGAGAGAGAGAGAGAACCATTAGAGTATATGAATAATTTCCGGTACGATCAAGGTCAAATTTTGGTTAGAAAAACCAAAACCACAACCAAACTTATTCCTATTCAAGACTATCTTTCATGTGCAAAGAAAAAAGCAAAGACAGCGACAGCGACAGCGACAACGAGAGCAACAACCAGAGGCAGAAGACGGAAGAAGATGGTGGAGAAAACTTAACCCAATTCAATGAACATATCTATGTCAACATGGTTGTTGTTGTTGTTGTTGTTTGAGTGTTATCAGGCCATAAATGTGCTTTGCGCAAAAAACAAGGAAAGAATTTAGAGGCGACACAGAGAGAGAGAGAGAGAGGGAAATGCCAGGCGGACAATCTATATTTGAAACAGTCAAACGGCAGGCAGGCAGAGCAATAACAAGAAAAAAGGCATCTAAAACTAGTCTGGCCAGATATTAGAGTATCTGTGCATCCAGCGGGTGGCTCTGCGGCTCTGCGGCTCTGTGGCTCTGCGGCCTGTATCTGTGTGAGACCCATTTTGAGTTCAAGATTCTTTTGTTGCTCCAATCGTTCTCTCTGTCTCTTCCATTTCTCCACCAGAAAAGAGAGAGAAAGAGCCCCGAAAATGCAACTACTGTATGCATTGTAGAGATTTCAATTTGAATTGCATTTGATGTTTGAAGCTTAGTTGGATTTCCATTCGACGAAGGAGCCCACACCCCCACCCCCACCCCCGCCCTGTAACTAGTTGTGCCTCTGTCTAGAAGGAGGAAAACCCAAAGCCATTCATGTCTCGTTCCTTGTCCTCGTTCCTGGCTGCCTTTGAGATATTGCCAGAGCTGCCACACCAATACAATCGGAGAGGCAACTACACTGTCGAACACTCTCTAGCACGCCACACGCTTCAAAAGTTGCAACAACACTATCACTCGGCTATGGCCACACCAACAACCTCACAGATACACACACACACACATGGCCACACTCTGGTCTTGTGGAGCCACGAATCCCACCGAACCAAACTGAATCCATCTATCTGCAGCTCTGCCTTTGGCTGCTGTTCTCGAGTAGAAGATGGTTCGTTGAATCGGCTTGTGCTACATATTTTGATGGAATGTTGGTGGTCTCCCCCCCAACCCCCTCTACCCCAGCACTGCCCCCCACTGCAGTTTGAAGTTTTTTAAAGTTTTAGCACACACATTGAATGAATTTTGTGGGTCTGAAGTGGGGAGTGGGGAGTGAGGAGTGGGGCTCTTGTTCTCAGCTTGTTTCGCTCCCCCCTCATCCAACTAAGCCGTAAAGTGTTTGGCAGGGGCAGGGGCAGGGATTTGTTGCGGATTTGTTGGCTACTGGCTTCAAGTGTTGTCAGAAGTCACTATGAGTATATCAAGGAATTAGTTTGAGGGGAGTTTTCGGGTTTATCTGCAGAACATGGCAGCCACAACTTTCGATGTGTCCTTGAGGAGAATCCTCAACCCCCTTCCCCATCGAAGGGGCCGATAGCCCATTAGGTCTACTATTTATATCTGCCCATCGTTCCCCAGATATATTTGCCACATTTGTAATTACAATTTTATCGCCATCCGACAGCGCAAACGAGTTTTCGCTTCAATCAAGGGAATCAGTGTCACTTGCTGGGACTCGTTTTATTTTTTCTATATTAAGAAAGAGCGGAAGGGTAACTTTTCAAGGTTCCTAGCTGCCAATCCGTGCAGTGCTATGCCTTGGAAAAAATAAATAAAAAATAAAACTGGGACAATTAAAACGATGCGAAAATCGTTAAATAAAGATCAGGTTTTGAGGCCCTTCGGATATCAGTTGCAGCCGCGTCTTTGTCTGCCGGACGGCGCTCGAGTTGCTTTAATTAAAGTCGAGTTGAAAGTGGAAGAGTCCTGGCCGAGTGTCAATTGGTTATCACTCATAATAAGCGATCATAACGCCTGACAGGCAGACGGGCAGCGCTTGTATCTGTATCTTTGCATCGGTTATTAGTTTGCATTACGTTTTGGTCATTGAACTCCTTCTTCTGATGCTCCGCTCCATCCAATCGTTCAGTGTCAACGTCATCTGTGCACACTCCAATTGGCAGAGTACGAGGAATTCTTTCTTTTGATTCGGTTAGGTGTACTCGTTTTTTGTATCTCCCAGATGCATCTGCATCGCTGCATCGCCGGCTCGCATCTTGGATATTTTTAGCTGACCAGCATCTTCGCCTTCTTCATTATCATCATCTCCACTCTCTTTTTTTTATAGGCTCGAGGCGGATTTTACCTCATTTAAACTTGTTCCTCCTCCTCCTCCTCCTGTTGCTGCCGCTTGCTGCTGCTGCATGCCTCCGCTTCTGCTTCTGCTTCGGCTACTTCTTTTGCTGTTGGGCCCGGTCTCAGCTTCTTCTTTCTGTGGCTCCTCTGGCGACTGTCTACTTGCTTAATTCATAATAATATGTTACTCTAGGGGGGTCTATACGACCCATATGGCATACCCTTGCTGGCAGATTTCCGCAGAAATCAATGGTTTTTTCTCATTTTTACAAATGGTGACCCCGATTTTTTATCACTTCTTTAATTATTCTATGATTTGATACTTATTTCCTCTTCAAAGCTTCGAAATGTATTTAAATAAAGATAAATATATGATATAAAGGCATATCTTTAGGCAGATTCTGCTTAAAAATAGCCTTAAGATCGGGGTCACCATTTGTAAATAAATCTGAAATAAATGTGAGCGATTAACACTCTCTTAAAGAAACTTTTTTCGGAATTTAAAAGGTGGAAATGTTGAAAAGGTATGAAATTAGAAGGTTTCGAAAGTTTCTTCTTTTTCAAAAATTGTTCAATACGTTAGCTAAGGAAATTGCTTCAATCAATGAGTACCCATCATACTTCCCAGGTCTTCTCCTCTATCATATCTCGTACTTCTTACCCCACAAAAGAGTATCCCCCCAATCCGTAGGCTGTTCTTTGTTTCTTCTCATAATCTTCATCATCGCCATCGCTCGCCCCAACGCCAGTCACCATCATCGTCAGCGTCAGCGTCAGCGTCATCGTCATCATGTTGTAATTGTTAGACTGTAAAACTTTGGCTTTGGTATGCGCACTTTCTCCTTAAATGCTATTTTTCGTTAACATTGTTTTCGCCGTCAGCCGCAGAGTCGACGAGCCGACGAGCCGACAAGCCGACACGGAGCTGGAGGTGGTTTC